CCACTCGTGTAAGTGATACTTTTATTGGCCTGAACCTGGGATTATTCGCGCACCTGGTGCTCTCAACCCCGCTCAATCTACTTTCTATGATTCGCTTTAGTTCAAGGGCACTTGGCACAGTTGGTAGCGCGCACGCTTCGCATTGATGAATAGTCTGATTGCGTGAGGTCGTGGGTTCAACTCCCACAGTGTCCATTATATCTTTTCCTTGTTTTGTTGGAAAATCTTTGTGAAATTTGATATTTTAGTCTCTTTCCTCAGTCTTTGGCCCTGATGCCTGGCATCAGCTTTGTCTTACTTGTCTAGCCATGCTGACAGATCCTAGTGTTCATAAGCCGGCAAGTTATGTTGCCTCGTCACATTTTTACAAGAGATATATGTAGGAGACAAGAAGCACTGACGACGCATTCTCACGACGCATCTTATGACAGGTCAATTCGGGAGTAAGACGATAATACAAGATATTCTATGTAGGGACCAATCTCCCGGTCACCGTCCTATCGCACCTCTTCGTTAGCACATAGAAACCGATAGAAATCAGGTCAAAAGGAAGCATGAGCGAGAAGAGGCGTTATTTTTACGTGAATCTGTCAACTTTCAAATGAAAAGAAGGTTAGAAATCACTTTAGTGAACGTGAACGGAAATGACTCAGAAGTCAAAAAAACATGCCCCTTCGCGGATTATAATCACGGAATTATAATCCTGGAATCAGGCCCTGAGAATGACAAATGAAGTCGTGGGTACATCGCGCTGGTTTTGGCACTTCTGACTGGTCCTATTTAAGGGAATGAAAAAGGTTTTTTTTGGGGAATTGCAGGTTAAAGGCGTGAAACAAGTACAATCTGGAGGTTGAACATGAAGACTAATGATTTATACTGATACCACCATACAGTGTTTTGTGGATCGCTCGATGGAATGCTGGAACCACTCCAAGCTCTTCGATCATATTTTGCCCGAGATACCCGGACAAGACATCGAGAGACGTGGATCTGAATCTGCATATAGCACTAGTATGACGTGTGCAGAGAGTGAGATCAGATTGTATCCAAAGCAAATCATAAGGGCCCCTATCTACGGTATGTGATACTATCGTAAACACTGACATGCTGCGCCACATGACCTGCCAGCGATCAGTTCGGC